ACGAGACGCTCGTGTGTGTTTCTTTTGTGTTCCGTCAATGTCCACTCTGATTACGTAAAGCCCGGTTTGGTTCTTAACGCGATTTCCAGTTCTAGATAAGGTGGGCCATACTACCAATCTTATTTATACTACCAATCTTATTTATAGTTTACAAATAAAAAGAGTGTTTCGATAAAAATCAAATTATGATTTTAAAAATATTTTTATTGTTTACAAAATAAATATATAGAGGAGTTTTGTTACAACTTATGTAAAAATATTTTTTCCTAATTACTACCTCCGGTCCTAATTATAAGATCCAGTTGACTTATTTGAGGAGATTAAGGAAGTAAGTTAAGATGGTTATTTGTAATAAATAAGTGTTGTCATTCCTAAAATATCCTTGCTAATTAAATGTATTGGTTAGAACTATTATTATTAGAAGGATTATCTTGGAAAAAAATACATAAATATGATAGATAAAATGGATTGGGGTCTTATAATTAGGACCAAATAAAAAGTCAAACGGGATCTTATATTAAGGACCGGAGGTAGTAGTTCTTATGTTTTCAAAACACGCCGTGCCTTTTATAATATAAATCAATAAAGGCGGACATCTGGTTTACTTGAGCTTTGTAAGCTTGGGCTTTATGCTGCTGGTCCGAAAACAAAAAAAATAAAAAAATAAAAAAACCTTTGGCTTTATACTTGTTATAATTGATCTTTATTTCACAAAAGATGTACCAGGAGATAGAGCCGTTTTATATCTTCTCCTTTTCAACATGAAATATCATGCCTAACAGTAACATATAGAGCTCTATTCATGATTTTTTGTGTCAATCTTTGTAAGGTGAAATAATACTCCTCTTATAATAAATATAAGACTTATTTTATAATATAAATTATACTATGACATGATCTTATATTTAGGATTGGATGAGTAGTTTAAAACGAATCAATTACTTAAGGACAAAATTAGATTTCTGACCAATAAAAATAAAATAAAAACAAACATGACCATATAGCCCCCAGTGCTGCTAGTTTATCCTAAAGTAATTTGAACAGCTCGGAAGACAGAAGTCCCCTAGAAAATCGCATGTGTTTATAATATTCAACCAACCCTGACAAAATACTGTCACTAATTATAAAAATCAGTACTCATTTGATCTTAAATATAATACATATTTTGTGTGTTCTTTCGATCCTAAATATAAGATCCATTTTGTAGTGTAATTTAACAAATTACACTACCAAATGGGTCTTATATTTAGTACCGGAAGGAGTATAATTTAAGTTGGACATTTTTTGGTAAAATGTCCTTATTGTTTCTTCCCGGTTCACATAAAAATCCACAATCACACGGCTGAGTCTATGTTTGTTATATTTGTGTCCGATGTCAATGCACTTGTTTGTTTCTGAACCAATACTTTTAATTCAAGACGACAGAAAGAGTTGGCCCCTGCTACTGTGGTGCTTACCTTTTGGTGATGTGTAGATGGGAGTATTGGCCATTATTATTTGCTAAAATTAGAGTTAGATTTTTAGAAATTTAATTTATAAAAGCATATATTTTTTTAAAATTAATATCATAATATATATTTTTACGAGATGCATTATCAATTTTTTAAAACAATTACAATTATTTTTAAAAAAAATTGTAATAATTTTTCTGAAATTCAACAATATTCTTTTAAAAATATAGTAATATTAATTTCCGTCAAAATTTTCACCCAGGTAAAATATATTTTAAAATAAATCAATAGTAATTTTAATTTTAAGATATACTAAATGCCCAGTTACAATTCTTCCAAATTAGTTTTTTTCCCATCGAAATCTTCCACCCATACCTTAATTAAGCTCTCTCAATAGAACTTCAGCTGTGAGTTATTAACCATCAAATTATGATCAAACGGTGTTAAGATAAAGAACCTTGTTTATTTTTGTTTTAATATATATGTTCAGGGAATCTATTATTTCCCTTTTATTTGTTTTTAACTCAAACTCAAACACCCACGCGGGGTCGGCTAACTTGCAAAATTTAATTAAATATGTAAAATTTGAATGAAGCCAGTTGTAAATAAAGTGGCTCGTATTGTAATGCTATCTAGAAGCTAAATACATAACTAAATCATCTTTGATCTATAAAATTATGTATTGTTAATGGCTTGAAGAATATTTTATATAATTATAAGAAAATTATAATGAGGAAAATTTTAATTTCATCTATATTTAAACATATATATTGACAAGGACAAGAATCAAATGAGAAAAAGAAAAGCAATAAAACCTTTAAAAGAGATAATATTAAAAAAAATCTAATAAATATGTCCTTTGGTGCCTGAAGACCAAATATCCCTGTCTCTTATATAATAAATGTCTTATAAAAAAGGATGCCAGGGAGTAAGTAATATATTACTCCTCCGATCCTAATTATAAGATCCAATTTGATCTTCAGGCATTAATAATTATTGAACCATAAATAAAACCCTTAAAAATGGCTTTTATAAATAACAAGCGGGAGTATTAATAATTAAATGCTTGTTATTTTGCAATGTTCCTCATCAAGAAATTGAATCCCGACATCGCATGTTAGACGCGCAGACACATCAAAGCATTACCAACACTTAATTAATGCCTGTCCCTTCACCCTTAAAATCCAATCCCTTTTACTGGCCAAAAAAAAATCCAACCCCCCTTCACATATGCATTGGGCCGTTTTGATTTTAATTTAAAAAAAAAGTGATATACAAAAATAATAAAAATTAATTAAAAGTTTTTAATCCTGTTTTTTCCAATTTTTAAATCAAGCTTATGAAAATTTTCCCTCCTTTCTCCTCATTTCATTTCTCCTCATACCAAATACCAAGCAGACCCTAAATCATTTACATTAAAAGATGAAATCATCCTTACAACCTCTTTTAACATATATAACCAATAGGAATAGTTAAAAAAAATATAGGAAAGAATAATAATAAGGTTTCAGAAAATAAAAATTGAATATAGTATCAAAATATAATTTTGACTGGATACTGGAGATTAATCTAACTACTATCTTCAATTCTAATTATATGATCTCATTTATTGTCTATAAATAAGATCTTATAATTAAAATAAAGGGTGGTACTTTTTATTGGCATCCACGCGACCTTTTTGTTTTTTTTTTTACCAGAGGGCATCCACGCTACCTATTCTTGCTAGATATGGAGTACTTTATGTTCTGACGAAGTATCACTGCATATTGATCTTATTAAGGAGGGCCAATTCACGTGTTTTCCTACTTTTTGGCGTTTTGCAACTTTTGGCCTTTCATGAAGTGGAGTATTAAATTAACAATTTTTTTAAAATTTTCTATCTTTTTATATTTACAGATTTTTTATGAGAAAATCCTAAAAAAATAACTATTGAATTTTAAAATTCCAAATCAAGAATTACTATAAAAATGTGTTGTCATTTGCTTTTTGAATGTAGTTATTTTCTTTACAAGTGTAGTAACTAATACTCACTTAGAATTTTAAAATTTAACAATCATTTTTTAAGATTTTCTCTTTTTTTATTTTTTTTCTCAACATTAAATATATTACAAACAATTTATATTTAAAACCAAAACTTCGCCTTTCAAGTGTACATTTATCATCATGCAAACTCTCAACTTTGAGTTGCATGCTTTATTTAATTATAAACTTAACTGTAGAATATTAATGTACATTTTGAATAATTTAAAAGCAAACTTCAGCCTGTCTATTTCGTTTTAAAAAATTGGATTTGAAATCTCCACCAAATATTTTTTTGACACAATCTCAACAAAATATTTAGTACTCCCTTCTGTTTCAAATAAATAAATAGTAAATATAATCTTACAATAAATAGAAAAATAAAAGAAAATGGAAGAAGTAATGTAATGAGAAACAATATGGTCAGGGAAAGATAATAATTAATTAAAAAAAATTAAAGATATATTAAATATTAAGACAAAATCAAATTAAAACTTATAAAATAAATCATATTCATCCTCAAATTTAAAACTTCTAAATAGAAGTATAGGACTAATTTGGAATTCAATCACTGTCACTTCCGGACACAACGCAAGCCTAGCGTAAAATGAAAGAACTTGCGTAAGGAATAACGCAAGACTAACGTAAGATTTTGCTTCCATTTAATCTCTTGTTTTTTTTTTTTGGAAAAACCATATTAGAGGTACTTATACTTTTTTTTAATTTTCAATGTGGTACCTATGTGTTTTTTGTTCTTAACTAAATCTTTAATTTTGCTCAATTAACATCATTAATCTTTATGTAGAGACTAAAAATATCAATAAAACAAAGTTATAAGAGCTAATGTTGCAAAAAAGATAAAATTAAATGTTTAATTAAAAGGAAAAAACACATAGGTACCAAATTAAAAATTGAGAGAAAGTATAGGTACTTTCAATATGGTTTTCCCTTTTTTTTTTTCTATTAACGTCATAATCATTAATATAAAATCTAAAATTCGTTAAAAAAATTTATTGAGTTTTTTAAAATACCATCCTAAGTCATTTAGATGAAATTATCTTTATGAATTCTTTTAACATATATAATCAATAAGAATATTTTAAAAAATAATAATAAACATAGGAGAGAATTATAACAAGATTTCAAAATAATAAAATAATTATTAGTAAGTCTCAATAACAGCTAAATAGGTACCATTTACTATTCTAAAATTTGTTATACAGGCTTATTTGTTTTAGTAATTATATTTTTTATTTGGGATTTTATAACAATTTTTCCTAAATACTCTTCCGGTCCTAAATATAAGACCCTTATACACACTAATATGATGATCTTATATTTAGAACAGAGGAATATAAAAAGATAAAATGAATTTATATTTTATATTTAAAATCAAATCCTACTTTCAACTTGTTCTTAAATTATTAAAAACAAGAGGGAGCGTATATGTCTCTTTCAACTGATTAGGCTTTTTTGTCCAGCAAATATATGCTTGTTTGGTGCTGTTAATCATATCATAACATAATCACGTTCACACCACAAAAGCCCATACAAAACTCCCTCAAAAACTGTCTTTTAACGCTCCAATCGCACTAGCTAGCTTTATTCCATACAAAACAGGAGCTATTAACTTGTTTCATTTATTTGATCTCATAGATTCAAATGAAGCGCCATGTTCTAGAATAAACAGTAAAGAGATGCTTACTAAAAATACAAAAAAAAAGACAGCTAAGAGGCATGCATGAATCACCCGTATGTGGTCCTTCAACCAACGTTGTTATCAACTAGGAAGTTCCTAACGAGTGATCTTCGATCGTTCTGACACCGACACGACAAGCCATCCTCTTCACATCTTCCACAAAAGCTTCGAGATTCCGGATGGAGGAGCCGCCGTCGGCGATGGCGGCCTCTGCGGCGGCCTTCCACCGCAGTGAATTATTCTTCAACTCTTGAGCCTTAGGCCCCACTGTAGCATCTTCTAAGCACCTGGTCACTTCATCTCTGGTGATAACTTTGTTCTGATCTTGTCCCCTTCCTAATCTGATTCCAACGCCGAACACATCAACTAAGAACTTGGCGTTCGTGATTTGATCGCCCCACGCCGGAAAAGCTAGAACGGGGACCCCACAAGTGAGAGTTTCCAAGGACGAGTTCCAACCACAGTGAGTCACGAAACAAGAAACTGAGGGATGAGCTAGAACTTCCTCTTGTGGGCTCCACTGAACCACCTTGCCTCTTCCCCTGATCATCACATTGAATGATCCATTCTATTATTAATACAATTGCAGTACTATTTATGAATCAGAGATAAATATTAATTTTATTTTTATTTAAGATTTTTTTAATTGAGTGATTTATAAATAATATTATAAACAGTACCAAACACAGTAAAATATCCTAGTTATATATCATAACTTTCCATCTGCTTTGGCGCAAGGCAATGTATTAAATGTCCGTGTCCGGAAACTTAATTAGCAGAATTAATTATTAGCAATAAGTTAGGCCGAAAGAAGGAGCTAACGAATAAATGAAAATTTTAAGTCCTTTCTATGTTTGACCAAACAGAATCGGATCATTTGCATGTGTGTTAGCGTGAAAAGTTGATATATTTTTTTGTGTTATTAACTAATATAATAATAGGCTTTTTGTGATTTTGTCAATCTATCTATTTTAAATTAAAATATAAAACTGAAAGGGAAATTAAATATATATATATATATATATATATTCTTACATGGTTTTCTCCAGGAACCCGCCGGGCAGAACTTGAGATGGAAGGCCCAGACTCCTGTGCGGCGGCTTTAGAACCCACAGAAACGAGACAGCAGAATCCAAAAGCGCATAAGCAATCTCGTCCACTTGTTCTTGAGGCAAAAACACTACGCTTCCAAATGAAATATAAACCACCGACCCCGAAGGCTTCGAGTTTAGCCACTCTATGCAATCATCGGCTTTCACACACAAATCCCCACGAATCTCATCACTTTCTGATCTCCCTGAATCTTCTGGTTTCGCGGGGTTCTTGAACAGAGGACCAACTGATCTTATAACACAGAACTTTGACATATACTTTATATAATCTTTCTCTAACTCCTCAAAAGTGTCCATCAAAACACAAAATGGCGAAGTTAACTTCTTGATCTGTTCTAATATGAGTTCCCCAATGAAACGATAGGGGCTATGAGAATGCAGAAAGCTGGGGATTTCGTCGTGTTTAAGAACAGGTAAAGAAGGCAAGTGAACATCGATGTGAGGATCTGAATCTGAAGGGAAAGGTACGAGTTTGTGAAAGAAATGGTAGTAAGCAGAGAAAACAGCGCAAGATTGAACCCAAAGAACAGCACAAGGCAAGTTAAGTTCAGAAGCAACATCACAGACCCAAGGAACAAAAGCGTTATTTATAACGCAAGAAACAGGCTGATGAGAATCATTATACTTGTGAATCATCTGCGATATGACCTGTTTTCCGACGAGTTCGAGCTGAGCTAAGTACTCGCTGAGATTTTTCCTTCTGGAGTCGTCTTCTTTCCAGCCATCTTCGAAGAACTCGAACCGGAGGAAGCCATCGCCGACAGGGATGGGTTTGTCGGAGACGATGTGGTTTGCGTTCCGGAGGTCCTTGCCGGCGTTCTCAGGGGTAGTGAAAGTGACGAATAAACCTTTTGAGGCTAAGCGTTTTCCGAGCCGGAGAAGAGGGTTGATGTGGCCTTGGCCTGGAAATGAGACCAAAAGGGCGTGTATAGGAGCTGTTTCAGATTCAGACACCATTTTTTCCCCCTTCTCTTTAGAATCGACTACAGAAAGAAATACTGAAAATGTGCGACTGCGGTTTGGATTATTTAAGGTTGGATTCTGTTTTCTTTTTCGTTTTTTGTGAAATTTCCATTTAAATTATTAAATTGAAATAAATTTTTTATGGGATATAGCAGCTTAAATGCATTGTGTTTTTTTTGGCGTCTGATTCAGATGATGAGTATTGAAATTTTTTAGTGAAAACTACTCTTTTGTTTTTATTTATAAAGTAAAGATAAAAGATTTTTTTAATCATATTTATAAATCATTTTATTAAATTTTTAATATAAATTTATTATTTTGTTTTTAATTTATTATTGTAGATAGTTATTTTTTAAAATATATATTAAATAAAAACAAAGTAAAAAAATGGCCGCGTGGCCACCTTTACATCAATAATGCCATTACTTGCAAATTAGACCTCAAGCAATAACACCGTACTTATCGCAACACACCTCATTCAGTGCCTATGCACGGATCTATATTACGTGCTCATCAAAATAATTATTTTTTTAATTTTTAAATAGATATAAAATAAAAAATAAAAATAATTTCTTAACTATTATTTTTTAAAAGTATAATTTTTTTATTTTAAAATAATTATTTAATAATATTAAATCTAGATTATCCAGATTAAATCTAAACGTACAGATTGTTCATCAAATAAGTACCCGTGCACCAACTTTTTCACCACACTTATTAGTTTCCGCCGCCTTGCAAGGCTCTAAATGGTAAATACTACTCCATCCTTTGTCTCTTTTATTATAAAAAACAATTATCAAAGTTATGTGATTCAAAATATTAAATTTAATTAAAAACAATAAATTTGGAAGAGAGATATATATATTTTCAATTATACTTGAGAGATAATGATAAATTACATATTTTAATGAGATAAAAGTGCAAAGATTATTTAGGGAGAAACGAGAAAGTACCTTCCCATAAACAACATTTGTAATCTTACATTTTATCTACTATTGCCAACACGCAGCGTGCAACATATAATTGGACACATGTAAATACTGATTTTAATAAATATAGACCCATATAATGTAATTATTGATCTAGATTCTTCTTTATATTATTAAAAACGACAAAGCAACAGGAAACTGCATTCTTCTCGTACAAACTGCTTCAAATCGAGATATGTAATATTTTTTAATATTATTTATTTTATGATAAATCCTTATTATTCTGTTATCAACACTTTAAAACCGGAGAGGAAATAATCAACTAAAATGCTACTTTTCCAATTCTTAATATAACACTTAATGATTGAGTTGGTTTTGGTCTTAAATATAAGACTCATTTCGTATATTTATTAATTTTCTCTAAATTATCTTGTAGATATTTCCTCAATCATAATCAAATAAAAAGAGAGATGAGGTATTAAGAAAGATGATTATGATGCTTTAAAAAAATGTGTCACATTTCTTATAATTAATTAACTTACATATCTTTTTTAATTTAATCAAATTAGTTAAATGTGTACATTATAAAGAGATATTCAAATTCTTTTTTCCCCAGAAAAATATCAATTTCGAGGGTCTCAGTACTTCCACGCAGTCTTTGTCAATTAACGGGCCACCTTACGCACTGTTTAAACAACCAAGTCAACCAATCAGCATTAATTGCGTCTGCAATTTTACTTATTATTCACTCAATGCTTATCGTGAAAAATTTCAACATATCTCATAATATAATATATTTTAATTAAAATATTATTTTTTTCCAAAAATTTCTAATTAATATTTTCTATTAAAATTAATTTTGATATTTTATAAAAATAAAGAATATTGATAATAAATATTTTATTAAAATTGATTGACAAATAATTCTTTCAAAACATAACTTAGATATAAGAAGCATGCCAGAAAAATTTAATTGTATAAGGAAAAAGATGCTGAGTAAAGAAAAATTAAATTGCATAAAATTTTTAGAGAACATTTTGCTAATTAATTTTTCAAAAATAGTTAAGCTCCTCGATTTTATTTCTGGAGTATTGCTGTGTTGGCATTTAATTATTGTCAGATTGCAGCATTAGCCAGAGGAGGATGCGCAGTTGAAATTGGATACTCCTACCACTGTCCCGTCAATTTCGTGCTCCCTCCGGCTCATAATATTACACCTATCAAGAAATCAATAAAGATAAAAATGAAAAGACTATATTTTATCTTTAAAAAAATCTCATATTTTATATTCTTCCAGTTTTAAATATAAATTTTTTTTGTAGTATTACTTTTGATCCTAATTATAAAAACTAATTGACTAATTTGAGGAGATTAAAAAAATAAATTAAGTTAGTTATTTGTAATAAATAACTGTTTTTTTTAAAATATCCTTGTTAATTAAGAGTATTAGCTAAAATTATCATTATCAAAAAGACTACCATAGAAAAATATATAAATATTAAAAACAAAATAGATTAGGATTTTATATTTAAGATCAAAATAAAAATCAAACAAAATTTTATATTAAGAGCAGGAGATAATATAATTTTATATTATAAAATAGATTTATATTTGTGTCTAACCCACGCGAATATATATATGTGTGTGTTGTGTATGAAAAAATTCTTTAATTGCCTTTCTTCTGCATCGGTGTTGTTGCCATCGGAATCACTGAATATGCTCTGGAATTTGGTCTTCGCAACTTGCTTAATCAGTCAGTCGGAATATCAGCTGGTTGAAATGACCTTTTTAGCCCTGACACTGAAACTTCGGGCTCCCTCCACAGCACCATTGCCTAATCCTGCATGAGGCATTTTTGTTTAAATTCGAAATTAGGAAAATCTTAAATCTTATCAATTTTATTTAAATTTTAATATTTTTTAAATTCTATTTTTATTTAATATATTTTTTCAAGAAAATAATTGTTAATAAAAAAATAAATTAAAGATAAAATTATGCATTCAACGTGATTTAGGTTACTCCAAGGCTCCCTTAACAAGTTAGGACAAACAAATTTAATAAAGCCAAGTATGTTCAAAGTAGGATTAATCACTTTTTTGTATATACATCTATGAATGTTAGCTGCCAACCAGTCCCCTCCCACCCCCCCCCCACACACACACACACACACACACACACACACAAAACAATGACCCGTGACTTTTCTTCTTTTCTCCTCCGCTGTACAGATCAATCCAAAAATGAGTATTGCCGATTCTCTGGTACACGTTCACCTGGTCTCCTTCTCATCTCTTATGCTTTGCCTCGATGGAAAAAAAAAAGTTAGAAGGAAAGAAAATAGGAAGAGAAAAAATAGAAAAAAGAAAAACCAGAGAAAAGATGTTATCATCCCTCTTGTTTCGGTAGATGAGAGAAAATAAAAAAAATTAATAAACATCTAAATGATAAAATGTTCTTATTAAAATATATCATATTTAAAATTAAATTAAATATTGTATTGTAGAAAAATTGTACTAACATTAGTATTATCAAATAATTAAAATCAAGTTATTTGGTTGATATATATTTTCATATATTATATTTTAAAACCAAATCATTTAATAAAAATATTTTTTAAGGTAAAAAATAAAAAGTGAATAAATTTAAATATAATAAAAGAAAATAAATATGAAGAGGAAGAGAGAGCAAGGATAGCCATGAAAATCTTGTTTTTCTTTTTTCCAAATCGCTCCATATATAGAGATAAAATTTGAAGAGAAAATGAAGTATGAGACTCACCTTATTTTTTCTCTCACTTTTCTTTTCTCTCACATTTTCTCCTTTACCAAATAAGAGAAAACTTGTTTCCCCTCACGTTGTCTTCTCTCGTTTTCTCTCCCCCTAATTTTCTCTTAATCAAAGCAAAGGGTTAGACTCGGCAAGCGCTTAGCCCCGTTTATTAAAATCTACTTGTAAAGTTCAATTAGGGAGTGTTTGGATAAAAACAAAACCATGGTTTCAAAAGTACTTTTACGGATTACGAAGTAAATATGTGGAGGAAGTTACCTCGGTTTTGCAGAAAAGTGCTTCTGAAACCACGGTTTTTGGAGCACCCAAACATAGCCTAGGTTCAAAATTGGAATTAGGGTTGAGCAATGGGCGGGGTGGGCTACCCGAAGGTTAGCCCATAGCCCGCCCATTTATTCATAAATGGGCATGGGGCTAACCCGTAACCCGGTAGTAGCCCATTTAACCCGTATTAAATGGGTTACGGGACAGCCCGTTTGGGCTAACCGGGTTACGGGGTAACCCATTTATTTTTTTAAATTTTTTTCATATAGTTATTTTTTATATGTAACTTATGAAGCTGTTAATAAATTTTGCATGCCAAATAGCAAATCAAATATGAAAATCAAATACATCAATCATATTCAATCACACAACCTCACTTAGATTTGCAAACAATCAAAGTCTGATAAAATCATAAAGTAGCCACCAATCATAAAGTTTCATAAACTTAAAAGTTCCAACTTTCCCTAAAGGATAAAATAAAAGCTTAGACAAGCATGAATGTTTTGATAAAAGATGAATGAGAAATAATATCATCATTAATGAAGAATAAAAATATCTTAAAAAAATTAAAACTTAAACGGGCGGGTATGGGCAGCCCAATACCTTGCCCATAGCCCAACCCGTTTAATGGGCTACCCTGCCCATTTAAGCCCGCCCGTTTATAATCTCTTATTTGGGCTAATTGGGCGGGTTTAAATGGGCAAAAATTTCATGGGTCATGGGCGGACTAGCGGGTAATGGGTTTGTTGCTCACCCCTAATTGGAGTCATATATGTTCTGGTTATTCGCAAAGTTTTAACCAATCACGTTCTTGTAACGTTCCAGTCTCTTTCAAACTAAATGCGTACCCAGAGAGTTTTAGCCTACACACACACACGCACACACACATATCTGTGAAATACTCCTCCGGTCCTTAATATAAGACCCATTTAATTAATTTAATTAGATTAAAGAAGTTAGGTAAGTGAGTTAATTATAAGAAAAGTGACATTTTTCCTAAAACACTATAATCATCTTCTTTAATACCCCATCTCCCTCTTCTACTTGATTATGGTTGAGGGAGTATCCACAAGGGTAATTTAGAGAAAGTTGATAAATATGAAAAATAAACCTTATATTTAGGACCAAAACCAACTCAAGAATTAGGTCTTATATTAAAGACCGTAACGTTGTCATCAATTGATGGAAAATACAAAGTACTATAGTGATGTGTAATTTGCATGAATAAGAGTTCCCAAACGGAAGTACCTATCGAAAAAGAATTTTCACACATTGTCCGATAAAGTCCACTGACTTTAAGGCTGTAGATGTCCCAGCCTGGTCCCACCGCATTGGCTGTTTATATGATGTCATTGGAGATTCGACTCCATAACAAACCATTAGTTACAAGAAAAAATTAATTTAGGTTTGTGATAAGATAGAGGTACGTGCCGTCCTTTTCATTTTCATTCACCTCTAATCTCAACATTTAAGATTAAAAGCTGAATGATTCAGATTTCATATTTTTTTAAAAAATTTTACAACATGTTTTTTAATTAATTTTTTGATTTATCATAGCTAAATTTAATACTTTAATTTTATTTATTTTTTAAGAAAGATTTAACAAAAATATAAAATTTGGATCATTTAAATTTTAATTTTATGCTTAAAATGGGAAGTGAATAGAAATGGAGAAGAAGGGAAGCCAAGAGACTCCGGATTCGATATGAATGGGCGTACGTGGAACTGGAAACCGTGGCCGGTTAATTTATCCACAGGAAAATATTCTTTTCAGTCCGTATAATTGGAAGACTTTTGCAAGTTATATTTATAAATATTTTATTTTCGTTTTTTTTTTCAAGGTTTGAGATTTTCTACCAAACTAAAAATCTCCTAATTAATTCATAATTTTCTAAACACACAAAGTTGCTAACTGTGAAACCAAAAAATAAAAAAAGTTGCTAACTAATTCATACTTCCAACTTCTAAGAACAATTACGACTAAATTGTGAGGGGAAATAGAGAAGATATGTTAAAATCAATGTTTTTAAAAACAATTTATATATAGATCATTTTCTTGATAAAGTACATACCTGTATATAGATTATTAAATTTCAAATCAACAACGAGTTGTATAATTCCAGTATATAATGCAAAACGATCAAATCTTATGGCGTCTCTGCCAATTTAAATTGCTTCTTTTACACCATTTCCCCCTCATCATTTAATTTTCTTAATTTTCTGAATAAAAAATTTAAAAATATATAAATATAATTTTTAAAAGTCACATTAGTCACTTAAACTGGTTATTTATAATTTTGGGGCATCTTCAATAGCTCTTTCTCACTCAACTGATATCTAAGGGGCGCGCATTGCTCCATTTCTAGCAGAGGAGGATGAGTAGGTGACTTTGCGCCGCCATTAACTAGGGTACCAAATCCCCCTCAAAGAAAAAGTTCAGGAACAAATAAATTTAGTCTTTTTTTGGGGTAAGTGAATTAATTGAGACTTTAACCACCCTTAAACATATTAGCAAATTAAAAATATAATTCCCCCAGCTGATCATGTTCGGCGAACAACTTCATCCACAAAGAACTGGATATTCCGGTCCGAGGAGCCGCCATCCGCCATGGCCTCCCTGGCGGCGAGCTTAAGCATGTCAGTGCTTTTACTAATCTCCTCCGATTTGGGCCCACCGACAACCTCTTCAATAGCTCTTTCCACTTCCTGGGACCCAACAAATCCGTCAACGTCCTGTTCAAGTCGAATTCCGATCCGAAAAACATCAGAAATAAGTTTAGCATTGGTGGGTTGGTCCGTCCACTCAGGATAAGCAATCATAGGTATGCCGGCGGTTATGGCTTCCAACACAGAGTTCCATCCACAGTGAGTCAAGAAACAAGCTGTGGCTGGGTGAACCAGAACCTTAATTAGTTTGAGGACACCATGAAACAACAAGGCCTTGGTCTTTGGTTTCTTCGAGAAAACCCGGAGGAAGCTGTCCTGCTTTGTCGTCAGTGTTTATTGCTCTTCCTGACGAAGCTTTCATGACCCACAGGAAATGGCGTTTGGTTTTCTTTAAGGCATTTGTTGTGCTCTCTATTTGTTTTGCAGAAGGTACGATGGTGCTCCCGAATGAGATGTATATTACTGAACGTGGAGGTTTGTTGTCTAGCCACTTCATACATGAATCTTCTGGCTTCCACATCTCAATACCAACATCTTGCTTTTGATCTGTAAGTGTATAAACCTTCAAGTATTAAATGTTGGGCACGTACTCATAAGAACTTGTTAATCAGATGATCTTTACACCTGATTAGAACTTTCATGTACCTGAACCAAGCATCGTAAGACGTGTACTCCTCGTAGAGAGGGGATTTCCTTCGATGTTCCTTATAATGTTAAGCACATGATGCTCATGTTATGATTTAGATGATCCCAATATCCACATCTAAAACTTTTGATTTGCAATCCTTTAGAGTATTGTTTAAGAGATATGAGTGGTAAAAATAAGAATATTTTTATTTTGAATTCTATATCTATTAAAATAAAAAATTAGTTAAAACATAAAAAAATTTAAATTGAATATAGATAATCTAAAATTAATATGAATAGTTTAAATTATGATAAGCACTCCATAACGTGCTCTGGAGTAAAAGTATGTTTTTTTAAAAATATAAATCCCTTCATTAAATTTACTATATAAATAAACAAGTTTACCTCTAATATGTTGTTATGTACACTATTATCTTGTTAGAATGTATATATATTAAATATGAGTAAAATTAAAAATTTATTCAATTTTAAATTAAGGCTACAGATGTTTAAGATTTTCTTTGTTGCAATGAAACGTGCTAGAAATACCTTATAAAAATAGGACTAGAGAGGCATAAATGATGAAAAATGACAGGACTTATAAAGTAATAATACACTATCTCCAATCTTTAATATAAGAGCTAATTGACTAATTTAAATAAATTAAGAGAATTAGTTGAGTTAGTTATTTGTAATAAATAGTTGTTGTATTTTCTAAAATATTCTTATCAATCAAATATATTGGTTAAAACCACTATTATTACAAAGACTATTTTGAAAAAATAGACAAATATGACAGACAAAGTGAATTTTGGTCTTATATTTAGAACTGAAATAAAAATTAAATAAGCTCTTATATTAAAGGTTAGAAGTAGTATTTTCGTTTTGTGTAATAATGGGAAATACCAATACACTTATTCAAGAACAAAACATAATATGTATGATTATATTATACTATCTCCGGTTCTTAATATAAGAGTTTGTTTGATTTTTATTTTAATCCTAGATATAAGACTTCAATCTACTTTGTCTCTCATATTTATCTTTTTTTTTTAAATAGTCCTTATAATAATGATAGTTCTAACTAACAAACTTAATTAGTAAGAATATTTTAAGAAAGACAACATATATCTCTTACAAATAACTAACTCAAACAAATTTTCTTATCTATTCAAATTAATCAATTAGCTCTTATATTAAGTAATGGAAGTAGTATATTGACCAAACAAATGTTCAAGAACAAACATTAATCAAAATCCCATAAAAAAAAAAAATCAATGTTGATAATGTCAGCTTGAGATGCCGATAAATGCGCAACAAAAATGAAACCACGGATAAATATTTTCCGGTCCATGAATATAACTAGTGATCAGGCCACAACTACGTTTGGAATACGCTGCACATGACCGCAATGTCTCCCGTGGGTACGTTTGATTATATATATATATGGAAATGAAAATAAAAGATTTTTTTAATAATATTTCTCTTATTTTTATCATTATTTATTGTATTTATCTCTTTTTATCACCTTTCACTTTTCAGAGCAGACATGACATAAAGGAAAACATTGTCTCCGAAGACTATAGGCCATAGCTGTCCACAAAATTTAAACATTTAAATAATTAAATATTTAAAATAATCAAAGAAAAATTAGGGATAAATCCCTCGTTAAAAATTTATTTAGTAAATAGGATCTAGAATGATTGATTGTATAAGAAAACATTAGTTGCACACAAAGAAAAATAAGTTACACAAAGAAAAGATAGTTTGTATAGAAAATTATTGGATATAAATAATTCGTTTGCACATAAAGAAGATGATTTGTACATAAAAAAATTTTATTTGCACAAAAAAAATGTATTGCACATCACACAGAGAAAGATATTTACATACAAAGAAAGATAAATTGTACACACAAAAAATTAATTTACACATAATAAAAGTTAAGTTGTATAAAATCGTTAGGTCCTATTTATTAATTAAATTTTTAATAAGAGATTTGTCCCGGTTTTCCCACTAATCAATGTAGCATTAATTGTGTACATGTAGTGTTATGTTTTTCCCGAGCCAAAGCTCATCTCTTTGAATCATTTCTGAATAGTTGAATAGTTTAGATTTAATTTTTTAATTAATTATTTTTATATAACAAAATTGTTTTTTTATAAGTAATAATTAAAAAAATTTATTTTTTATTTTAAACTCTGTATTCATTAAAATAATTATTTTAAAAAATCCAAAAAAAATTAAATATGAACTACTTAGATTTCACATAAACAGAGAGAGAGAAAAAATGAGCACTGGTAGAACAAAAGAAGGTCCTGCGGCCGCAACAACGGAAAACCCGGCAGCTCCACCAACTTCTCAGGCTCCGTCACCGTCGGAAAATGGTTCAGTTCGTTGTAGAAACGATAGTAAATGGCGTAGAGGCCGCATGGTTGTATCCAAACGCAAGCACAGGGGATTCCTGCCTCCTCTGCCACGTCAGCAACCCATGGGACAAACGGATTGCTGATAACACAAGCGAGCTTTTTAGAGCCACCAACAAAGTGGTTCTTCATAAGGGTGCACAGATTTGTTGGTCCAACCTTTTCGATCTTCTCCATGTATTGGTCTAGACTTGTCTTCATGCGGTCCTCGTCGTTAAACCCGTCGGAGAAGAATAGCACTTGGATTCCGTTGATGGTTATGGAATCGGGAACGGCGGCGGAGGCTACGGTGGTGGAGGAGTGAAACATGCGGTGGTAGACAACCTCGGTGGTGGCGAGGGTGACGTGGAGGCCTTTGGAAAGGAGGCTTGTGCCTAGTCGGAGCAATGGATTGATGTGACCCTGGGCGGAGAAAGCCACCATGAGCACATGAAGATCTTCGTGATCGTCTTCCTTTGAGGCCGCCATGGATATGGTGTGTGGACTGATTTGAAATTTTAGAGAAATTTTTTTGGGATTTTCTTTTATTTGAAGTGGCCAAAACAGAAAAGGTGAGGAAGGATGGTTTTGTACAATCCTTTTGTGCACAGAAGAATCAGTTTTAATACTCATTTTATTATAATGGGAAGCGAGACTTAATGTCCATTATTATGATGAGTATTTTACAGCAAAACTAAATCATTCATATATAGTTTTAATGACTTAGATTTAAAATTTTTTAACTAGTAATTTTTAAATACAAAATTATTTTTTAAAAAAAACTTACAATTAAAAAATTATATTTATTTTAGATTATATTTTTCAAAAAAAATATTAAATATTAAATCTCGGTCACTCATATTAAATTTGAATAGTTAAAATTTGATGAGCATTATGGTATTTATTACTGCGAAGAGGGTTAAAACTAGTTCTTGTGTGGAGATGCTGAAAATGTTATTAAAAAAATATTATTTCCGGGACATGTATTTTTAATTTAAAAATTATCAAAATACAAATTATGCAAAATATAAATAAAATCTTAATGATATTTTTTAAAATAATAATTAATACTCTCTATAAGAGCTAAGAGCTAATTAAAGGTTTATTTTGATTTTAAATATAACATGTTAATCAAATTTGCTTCTCAAATTTATAATTTTTAAAACTATCATTCTATATGAATATTTGTGGAGTTTAATTATATCAAGGGTTCTATTCAATGCAAATGATTAAATATGATATTTTAAAAAAGTCAATACCCATCTTTTATAGGTAACTAATTTAACTAATGTTTTTCATATACAAAAATTAGTTAGCTTGTTTTTACATTATTAAAGAGGAGAACACAAGTTTAAATTTTGAAAAATATACTTGTTGAAAGGACTATTTTTTAATTACTCCCTACCTGAAAAGGATTAATTTCAAGTTCATGTGACTTGGGGATAATACGTGTTTCACCAAACAAATATATTAAATCTAAACCACATAGATGTAGGTTTTTTCCTTTACCCAAAAAAATGTGTAGTTAAAACCCAAGCACTGTTTACTCAAGGGGAGAGGAACTACTTAACTACGTTCCTACCATTTTCTGCTAAGTAATCGCTCCCACTTAAAAATATGGAAAACAGGAAGCCGCGTTCATTTTCTGGGGGCGAAAACTTAATAATCCGGGCATAAAGCTGGTCCAAGTCACCCATGCAGGTTAACTCAAAGTTTTCGTGAATAAAAATGCAAGATGTGAGTTGATTCGCGAGTTTAATTTGATAAATCTTATTCCTACTCATGTTTCATTTTATAATTGGAAGTATAACGATTCTTAAAATTATATATAAGAAGTGCAATTGTAAAAACCAAATCCTGGTAAAAACCAAATGGTAATTATAAATTATAAATAACAAAGCTCAATTATAATTATCTTCTAACTTTTTATCGACAAACTTCCGTGAATTAAAATTGAACTGTTTATTTTTTTCCAACTAAATTTCTAAATTTATCATGACTCAATTACGTGCACAAGAGCTTAGAATACATGTAGAATGCAATATAGCAACCACCTTACGTGCTCGTGAGCTATACATATACTACAAAAAACCTAGCCGTGCACGAATTGAGATGGAAATGTCGCAAGGCCCATTAATACCATCAGAAATTGGAAGCAATAAACAGGGCGCAAATATTCCTAGAATTTTTAATTAGAAAAGATCAGTTAGAAAGATTGGAATAAGATTGAAGTTGATGTAAAATTTGGACTGTGATCGAAGAAGATGTTAGAGATGCAAGAGATATGTAGCACCAGAGTGCTACAATAAGAGAGACAAATATATGGGTGGGTTTTTTTTAAAAAAAAATTTTTATGAACAGATATAGAAACTGAATGTGCAATTTTATTAATGAATAGAATCTTTCATTATTAAAGAAAACAAAATGACTTGTATACCGTAAATTGTTAATCCAATAAAAGCGTGATAAAAACCTAACCCTTTATATGTTTGGTACATGAGGGATAATTGAGGGGGGAGGAACTTTAATGGGCTTGATTTAAAAGAATAAGAAAAATTAATTAGAAGTTTTTAATACCACTTCTTTCATTTTTTAAATCAAGCTTCAAAATCATTAAAATTTTTTTCCCCTCCCCACCATTTCCTTCGCACCAGAACAAGATTTCTCTAGTACCAACTCCACCTGTGTATTTCATTCATAATAGTATATATAGAAATACTAATTAGATGTTACATACATTATTTAAAGAGGCCAGAATCCAACTTAAGATCTCGACCTAGCCACCTGAAACACGCCACTTATCATGACAAACTAGCAATAAATAGACAGAACACTACTATTGTGGTGCTCTTATTAGACAATACAAGAAGAAGACTCTGACCTTAACACTCATGACAGGCAATTCCAACTTTTTATTTATAAGTAACGCCTAATGACTTTTATTTCAGATAAACTGCAGAAAGAGGAATCTCTTTTGTATGCAATATGCATCCTAATGCCCTGCTCCACCATTGCTAGGACCAGAATTATCAAGCACTACTATTTGAGGTGATGAGAAAACCTTCTTATCATTTGAGCTTAGAGTTGAGCTCTTCACAATCTTGTTTGGTGACTTCAGAAAGAGCCCCACTGACTCTTCCTTAGCATCAGCATGCCCTAAAGGCCTTGCCATTATCCCATGCATGGTGCTCAACCTATAGAAGAGAATGAGAACAAGAAAGAAGGCAAAAGATTGAAGCTTTCCAGCCATAATAACTGCTAGCTAGGAACTACTTATATATAATTAGGTAATGGGATTATATATATTGAGGACTATAGTTGTAAGGGCTTTTCTAACTTTGCATGTGTATGTGAGGAATGAAGACGCAAGATGCACTTCTATTTATATTAGTATGGTTTAGTCAGAGTAAAGATAGTGCAGAACTATTCACCGTGGACAAAAATGACAGTAGGTCATAATCAACATGAAAAATTAGGTCTATATCTTGAATTACTTCAGAAAAAGGGACTATATAGTTTGACACAATGTATGGGTTGAGTTTGATGATCACTATCCATAGCTCGCATGGACTGCAAGTGTTCAACATCAAACGGGAATGGGCTTGAGTGTTGCAATAAATAGTAGGTAAGAAATATTTCAGCAGAAGAGATCTTTTAATGTGATAAGTCGGCATCGTGCTCTTTTTAAGGTCAAAATAAATTGGATTGTGATCTCACTCAACTTTATTTTGTCACGATGAAATTACTTTATCTAGTACTCCTCCGGTCCTTAATATAGGACCCAATTCTTGAGTTAGTTTTGGTCCTAAATATAAGACCCATTTATCATATTTATCAATTTTCTCTAAATTACCCCCTCTCAACCATAATCAAAGTAGAAGAGGGAGATGAGGTATTAAGAAAGATGATTATGGTGTGTTATAGGAAAAAATGTGTCACTTTCTTAAATTAACTAAATAACTTACCTAAATTCCTTAATCTAATCAAATAGTTAAATGGGTTCTTTATTAAGGACCGGAGGCAGGAGTATTATAACTACGGATCAAAATCTAATTTTAATTTCATAATTACTATATATAAAATAACCGTAAAACTACAACTATTTTCGAAATCCTCATCTTTTAATCTTCTTTTGCCATAATGTTTTTCTATCAAACACAATTATTGGTGAATGTAGATTAATATTTGCCATTTTAATAGTTTTGTTATTATAATTATATCATTAAATTCATAAAATTACAAAATATTTTCTTTGACTATGATCTCTATTCACACCCCTCTTTCACTATATATTGCCAGCTAAGCTATTTAAGTGGCTAAATCACAAAACATATTAATCTTAAGATATATGTTAATTATGAGCTAGATTGATACTCTAAACCTTACTTAACAAAATGTTATTTTATTACTAAAATTGTTTTTGTACTGTGATTCAGAAACGCATAGTATCTTGGACATCGTAATACTATGAATCATGTATAGAAAGGAGAGATCTAAAGTGTT